AGGAAAAACACATCCCACACACGAGATTAGCAACCTCTCAGCTGATCTTACATCAGTCTGCAACATACAGTTCTGCCTTTACCAAAAATAACTGCAAACGGAGGTGGCTGGCTGGCTGAACTGCTGTAGGAGCTTGGACAATGTCAGATGGTGTTAACTTCAATTTCACTTCATGTTTTTTGTTTCCAATGTGCAAATTGTATATTCTCACAATGAGAAATTATCTTTGCTGCCATCCTAGTAGCCCAGCACGTGGCTCACCATTGCCAAACTCTCTCCAAATGAGAATGTGTGGCAGGGATAAACCAGGATTTGATCCCCACGTGGCATGTGATTATTGATCATTTTAGTAGCTCTGGGAGCAATGCAGGTTCTGGTGATCCCAGCCTCTGGGATCTGGAAAGATAATGGTGTAAATAAACAGATTTAAAGTAGGGAATTGTATTTATAGGGGTTGTCAAGCTATTGTAAGTATTACAGAGTCACTTGAAATTGGTACATAACATCCCCTAAATACTACAAGGGCTGTGCAATCCACATGGTACCCAAGCAAGCAATGGCCAGTAACTCATTCTGTAGGGGAGTTAATTTGTCTCAAATGCACAAAAGATGGGGATGTTTCATTACCTATAAAGCTGACAAATTGAGAAGGAATTTTTCAATTGTATACCGTGCATAACAACAAAAAAAAGAGCATATTTTGACATCACTGGGATAAACCTTTGATATGGACTGACACACAAAAAACCCTATGCTCCTTTATATCATAATTACACATTCCAGAAGGAGTAAAGCCTTGCAGTGGAAGGTTAGGATGAGTTTTGTGTGGGAAAGCAGACAGCCTTGCATTTGCAGAGTGCAGAAAACACTGTCTTCCCACATAACAGCTCAATACCCAGTGCTGCAGGCATGGCACAGGGGCAGGCAGCACTGCCTGAGCCTCACCCTAATGAGATCCGGTCAAGGATAGGTCTGGGGATGCTTCTAGCAAAAGAGAGCTAAAAACAGGGACAGGATAGCAGACTGCATAGATGAATTGGCGGATAAAGCCCAAAATGAGTGACGTACAGCACCAGGGAGTAAAATTAACAGACAATATAAAAGTGACACATCTTTAGCTGAGGAAATTATTCAAGTTTTACCATTCTTTCATGCCTCCACTGTACTCCAATTGAGAAGTAGTGAAGGTCATTCAAATGAACAAATCGTGCCAGAAAATGATTCAGCTTCCCTCCCTTTTTCTTTTTTCCTTTTAATTGAAGTTGCTGGGATTCAGCCACCCTAGGAAACCCACACGACCCTGTACTGTCCCGGCCGGGCACTCTGTCAAAAAGGAAAAAGTTCTCTTTTCTTCCGTCTTGTAACTTGACAATCTGCAATCTGGAAGGGAAAGCAGTGCTCGATATAAAGGCACCCACCATATTTCCAGGTCAGTTTTTCACTTGGCTGCTGTTGCAGGCAGGGGCTAGAGGACACTGTGGGATTTTGTTTTGCCCCTCTAGTGGTGCCGTTTGCTTTGTGGGAAGGAGGAGCTCCAACCCAACTGGTAAGCAAGATGCTCTGCTCATGGCCAGGACCCTCTCCCCATAGCAGTAACAGGCACACCAGCACACCCTCCAACCTACACTTACGTCCAACCAATATTTCCATACCCTCTCCCCATGTGTTTGGAAACTTGAAACAAAATCCAACACAAAGGTCGAGAGGAGGCATTTGGGTTCCAACTCCTGCCTGGGAGGTCTGCTTTAGGACCACAGGAGTACTAATTTGCTCACTGTTTCATCTGTTTCCCTGGTAATCCTCTGTAAAGAATATTAAACAAACATGTATTAACAGCATGAGAGCCAAGGAAAGAATGTTAACCATGTGAAATAAACCTGTTTTACTAATTTTTGCACCACTTTCTCTCTCTGGTCTAAAGATGGGTACGCAAGGACAAGGATCCACCAGGCTCATGAACGAAAGCTTTCTCTGCTCTGTTCAGACACTGCCATAAGCACTGCTACACCCTGCATGTGTTCCTCTGTAATCTCATAATTAAACATAAGTTTAATTAACAGCTAGGTATGTTGAATCATAGCCATTAGAGCGGAATTTTCTCAACTACTGACAACATTCACAAAAAAATGCTATAATATTTATTTCTTGGGTTATAAACTAACATACCCTGCATCTCTTCTATCTGCTTTGCAAAGATGCCTTTGCAGCAGTGTTTGTTGTTGCAGGTATAATTCCTGAGTGGAATAATGGATCTAAAACCCAAAACCTAATCCGTAAACCTAACCCAATGGACAATGATAAGTGGGGCCAAAAATGTCAAACAACAGCATTCCACATATCTGGATGTCTACTGCCCGGCTATCTGAGGAGCTGCCAAGGTTTGGAGCTGCAGATAACAGGGAAGATTGCTCCAGGGTAAAAGATCACCTCAAACTCCTCCCATTGAATGCAAGGAAGGGGTTGGGTTTGCTGTCTTGGGAAGAAAAGGGAGAGATGTCCCACAATTCTCGGCAGGCTAAAATCCAAAATGTTTACAGGACTCAGAAGCAAGAAAGCTTGCAAATAATCAGCTGATGCCTGTCCAATCAATGCAAACCAGTAATCACAAATGGGATGAGGGCGGATTATACAGCACGGTTCTGTACAGAAAAAATACCCTTTCTAACATGAAAAGGTTAAATAACCTTAACGAGAAGCTCCTCCTATCCCAAGTTAGAATTGCTGACTGCTCAGCTAGTACTTTTGGCCATTATGTAGCATTAATCTCTGTTTCTGAAGTCAGCCTTCAGGAGAAAAAAAGGCAACTTCAGAACATGCAAAAATTAATGAAAGCCATATGTGGGATACTGTCATTATTCCATGTTTATAAGAGGATCATGTTTTGTTAAATGGGCTTATTTAATGCAGACACATAAGAAAAAATACCCAGCAAAAAGATCTGAACGCTACTGAAAGAAAAATATTTTCTTTTGTTAACCCAGGCAGCCAGTAACAAGCAAAATGACACAACCTAAACTAGAATACATTATCTATCTTAGTGTAGCTTTGTTTACAGCTTCACCAACAGCTTACAAAGTTCTCTTAAGTAGAGAAAACTCTTCTAAATCCATTTTACCCTTTTAGACGCTTTTCACTCTGTACTGTATTTAAGCTGAGACAACCTAAAAATCAGTGGCTTACAGAAACATCTGTTGGTACAGGCAAACGATTTAGCCTTTCTTGAGAGCTGTTGTTATTTCATGCTTTCTTTGGCTAGGAGATTTGGTAAGGCTGGAAGAAAATGTTATTTGGGCTCCTTCCCTGATTTTGTCTGCGCAATGGCTGCAATCAGTGTCCTGTTCTCCCTCTCCTCTGTGCGAGGTCAGGGAAAAATAGTCAGAATGCCTCCAAGTTAGAAAGATGATCAGATCTGACCCTGGTCACCACCCTCAGATTAAGGAAACAGCTCTCAGACTCACATAATCTCACTCACTCACCTAAACACCAGTCTGACACCTTCACTGCTGTGGATGCTTGCTGTCCCGTACCAGCAAGCAAACCTCACTGCAGCATGCCCTGCTGCCCATCTCTTTGGCTGCTCCTCCATTTCTAGCAGCGTTAACAGTTAACCCCAGATCTTTCCTGTCTCCCTCCTGCTCTTTCAGTATGGGATCCAGACCTCAGCCGATGTCCTCCGTAAAAGGATAACACATATTTTAAGAGCCAACCTGCCAAAACGTATTCTGTGTGCCAGACAGCATTACTTACCAGTCAGGGAACACGCAATGCTCATAAGAAGACATGCAGAGAAACAGAATGTACTTTCCTTGGGAGACTAATGCCTACCTAAAAAAAAATATCTAAACCAAAATATCCTATTTTTAAACTGGTACTCAAAACAGTACGCTTCTATATCAAATTCCGTTTTCTGGAAAGAGAAGGAAATAACTTAAAAAGCATTTGAGTTGCTCTAAAAATCATTTCTTAGTGTACCGAGTTTCCTACTAGAGTTTCCTACTAGAGCTGAGAAAGGCAATCCCGAGAGCACAGATGTTTCCCCTTGCTCTTTTAAAGAGAGTACTTGTTTAACCTTACCTTTAAAACGTCACATTCTGCTGCCATACACTCCAACATCCCAGTGGGTATTGACTGAATTGTGCCAACCCCTGCCCAAGAGGCCGGGCGGAAGAAAAGCCAGTTTAAATAACCATCGCTTATTTAAGGCAGGAAGAGCCCCAGGTTCTCAAGCTGAGGAGATCTTTCAGCTTTAAAGAATCCTAGGATCTACTCCAAAACGCAAATTTTGGTTGTCTGGTGCACTGTGAGGATTTCAAGCCCAGAAAGAAGTTATTTATTTAGTCTATATACTTAGATTTATAACAAAGACAGAGGATTCATGTACACTGTTCTGGGTGCCTTTTGCATCATTTACAACACAAGAAGTAAACCTCAGCTTCCTCAGAGATAGCAAACAAGTCATAAACAAGCCTTGACAAGCAAATCAAACACAGTCCCTCAAATATCTACTTGCTATTAACAAATGAACTTTTAGAGGTTTCTCTCAACAGTCTCTCCAAAAAGCGATTAAAATCAGAAGCTGCAAAATGCCCTAAAGCCAAAGTCACTGTGATGTGAGTATGGTCTTGGGATATTACTGCTGAGACTTTATTCAGCTGTAGGCTACAGCATTGCCCATCAAATCAAAACACAGGCTGCAGTTTCTTGTTCTCTGTCATTCTCTTATCTCTTCCCTTTTTCATACCATGGCACCCCAGCCTTTACAGTCAACAGCTCCTTTCTGGTATCCAGAGGTGAGAATATTTGAAAACTGTGCAAGTTCTTATTCTCTTAAAAGGCTCAAAAAGATGCCTGGATGCTTTTTACTCACTCCTCACATACACGGCCACCTCCTTCTGGGCAAGCAGGTAAGAATGCACTTCCTCCCCCTGTTACAGTAGAAGAGTTTAATACCTATCTCTTCCTCCTCCCCCCCTTAATACCTACATTGTGAAACCAAGAAACACATATGTTATTTCAGGAGACTTTATCAACCCAGTCTCGTCCATGTCTTTGGTAAGAGTACTGCATTCTGCTAGGTAACATTTTGGAAGGGCAGAAAAGATTTCTAAATTCCCAAGAACAAGAGCTCAGATTGAAACCAACATGAGAAGTGCACCTCCAGACTTTGAAAATGTGTACTTTGGAAACAATAGCTCTCCTAAGCACTTTTGGGCATTCAGTGCATCCAGCTGTGTTAAGAAACTAAGCAAAAGTTCAGAGTCAAGTAAGTCAGGATTATGATCTTCTCGTGATTTATGGAGGTAAGCACAGTCTCAGACAGAACAAAAACATGTCACTTGATGCTAAGCAGACTCATTACCAGGGCTCAGACTAATGAGTTAGGGAGGGCAAGGCTTCACGTTCCTGCTCTTATCTCACCAGCTGGAAAGCCCATGTACAGGAAGGAAGAACGTGCTTGGTTGTCAATGAGGTGGGCAGACTTAGTGCCACGGTACCTGCAAAACAGTGTTGCTGTTCCCATAGCAGCACAGAAGATGCAAATGCTTCAGGACAGGGAGGCACGCTGATTTGACAAAGGTGCTGTGCTTTCTGCTCACAGAATGTGCCTCCACGTAACTAAGTGCATAAATAAAGTGAAACTTATTGTTGTGACTGCAGAGGTATTAGGATATAAATCCTGGGAGAAGCACTGTTTAAGTAGGCTGACACAATCACAAACCAATCACCTGTCCTTTCCAGATCCGAAATAACAGCAGTGTTAACTAAGGTTAAACACAAGCTGGTAACAATCACTCCAACTTTAACTGCACAGACAGAAGAGAAAGCAAACAAGATAACCCAGAAATATTGGTCCTATCTTCTGGACTATCCTCCTGGGCACAGCTACTGCCTTCAGTTTTATCGAGTACATTGCTGGCACTAAAAACACAGTATGCAAGCAGGGAGGGAGTAGCTAAGCTAACTACTGCTTAAGAGAAAATCAAAAAGTTGGTTGCATCAAATACATGCTTATATAGGTATAAATGTAATCCATAAGCAAAGCAGAACAGGAAGATGAAAGACAAGAACTTTGTTGGCTGGAAGAGACTAAGTTGAAAAGAAAGCCTGGTTTAAAATTTGCTCCTGCCCACTAATTCCAATATAGCTGATAAAGCTTATTTTATTAAACCACTGCAAGCTCTGCTGCATGCCTGTTACAGCCTTCACGTTGTGGTTTTTTTCCCAAAGACAAAGTCCAAACCCAATCCCTTCCACGCCAGTGAAGGCCTTTCATTGCAGGTGTCATAGGCTTTGTTACCAGCACCTCTGTATAGACCTAAGATATTCTGATCTACTGCAACATTTGTCACCTATTCTCGTCTTGCAGTCCCAAGCTGAAAACTCCACCATTAACACAAGGCCAAATTTTACTGCACTGCTGCTCTGCACCAGAGTACACGCTCATAGATGAGGCAGAAATCAGCAGGAAAACTGACAAACCCTGAAAGCAGTGAAGCTGCTCAATATGAGGAAGGACGCTGCATGGAAAGACAAACATTTTGTATCACTGAGGCTTTTATTTCATCTGGTGTTCTAACAGCAGCCAGTGACACAGTCGAGTCATCTGGGGCCTCACAAGATATACACATGATCCCAAGCAGCAGCAGTAGAGACGCTGGAGGAAAAGAATCTGAGATTTCCACCTCTGCTTGAAAAGAATATAAGGGAAGATCGACCCACCTAAAAAGGGTGGGGAAAAAAGGACCGAAAACGATAACAGAAAGGGGAATCTGTGCATCTACTGCAAGGCGAAATGCCTTCTGCTTCATGTTTCCATGGAGAGAGTCTTAACAGCACTGGGTAAAATGCCAAATATGTTTTCATAACAATTCACAGTGCGTGAGTGGAAATACTGAAACAGAAGAAGTATTCTTTCTGATCAGCGCTCTAGCTTTGAATACAATCCTCTCTTATTTGTTCTTTACCCTTTTCTTCTTCTTCACACCATTCTTTTCATCTTTGCTGGAAGACTATGTCAAAAATGCCATGCCTGGAAACTGGGGCCTGCAGTCCTTCATCTGCGTCCCCCTGAGTGCTCTCTGATCATGCTGCTGGGGTTCATCTTCTAAGACAGGAGACAGCATGCAAACATGCAGCCCGTCCAAATCCCCAGGTAACTCAGTGTAACTCAGCATTTCTCCAGTAGATTATTCAGAGCTGCAGCTTATCACTCCATAGAATATCCAGTTCCTGATGGAAACCTCAAGCAACAGAGAGCTCATCTTTCCTGAAGTAGTTACTTAAAAAATAACTTTTTTCATTCCTGAAAGCCAGAACTGTCATTCCTATAGTCTCAATTTGACCAGCCTCATCTTTTAAACCCCGCATCACACTTGTGGCTCTTCCATCAGAGCTAAGAGTTGGAAGGAGTCTCTTTTCCATGAAAATGGTTCCAGCTCAAAGGAGGCTTCTCTACGTCACAGGGCTCCAACTTCAAACTTCCAGAACGGCAGCATGGAGCAGGGTAGGTGTGCTGAGAAGGGGAAAAACTCAGTGATGCGATGCACCAGAACACCCATTTGTCATAATAATGCAGTCCATGTTTGGTCTCCCATGTTATCATCTTAATTTCCTCTATATTTAGTCTAGGAATTTAGTGTGTGGTAACCATGTCTACCATACAACAGTTACACCACAAAACTTTAAGGGATTTCGAACACAAATAAAAGAATCCATGTGATACAGGAGATTGAACCATTTGAAAACAGAGTGGTATTTTCCTCCTCAAGGTACAACACTCACTGCCAACACTGCTTTGCCACAGACTCTTATACATCCATTATTATATGTACCCATACTTTCATAGCTGCATTAAAAAAAATGAATACTCCAGAACCAGGATTTTCTATGGGAGAAATCATTTAGCTCTGTGTTTTTCAAACCTGGGAAATAATGGAGACTGCAGTGACTGAAGGGGAAGGTGTAGGGGATATGAAATAACTCACCACCTCCATGTGGCTCACAAAGGAGCCCCATTCATCTGCCCCATCCTGCTGGCTGCAAGCAGCATCTTTGCATCCAGTTGCAGATTTCACTTGTCTGCCTTCCTGCTTCTCTCACTACCATCCGTGAATCCTGTGCCTGAACTTGGAAAGGGCTGCCCTGAGCTGAGGATTAGCAGAACTCAGGACAAAAAGGAATTAGAACTGCAGTTCTTAGTGAAATTAAGTAAAGGACAAAATCACAGCCACTGTAGTTGCACAAAAGCCTTCCCGCTGCAGATTTCAAACCACAAGCAATAGTAAAGGCCAACAGCAATCCCAGGCTTGTTTAAATTGCTTTTTTTCCCCTGCTTTTTTTTCCTAACTTTACATAACACATGCTATAGTGTCAACAGCTTATGCAGCAATGCACAGAGTGTCCCACTAGAAGCAGCCCACAGCACCAGGTGGGCCACTCTGCAAAGCAATGAACAAACACAGGAGTAAGCATCTGACAGAAATTCCTCCCAGCCCTCTTGAGCCCTCAGGGACACGCACAGGATGCCAGTGGGTGTGAGAAAGGGCCCTGCAGATGGCCAGCCCAAAGCCCTGACCGATGCATTTGTGTCACCATCTAGCACTAATGCCAGGCTCTGGGCAGGCTCCTTTTTGGCTGGTTTGCTGTTGTTTTGTGTTGTTTTTTTTTCTCCTCATGTTTACTCTAGTTACAGTACAATATTTACAAAGAGAGAGTTACACAAGTGATGTTGAAGAGGCAGGCTAGGCCGCAGCCTATTGTTAGGGCTGCACTTTCCACCATGGCACTCTGCTTTGATTTGTTTCCAGCACTCCAGTCACTCGGTCTGCAGTTCCCCCATGCTGTTGGGAGCCTTCCTGTGCTGTTGGGAGCCTTCCTGTGCTGTTCTGCAAAGCCTTTGGGACACAGGAGCTTGCAATCATGCAGCTGCAAACCATCACATGGTATGGACAGATGCATCAATATAGGCAGACGTACAAATGCACACAAAGCAAACTGGCTTCAGTGCGCACAGGCAACCTGAATTTTGGTGAATAAATCCTAAGCAGATCTGCAGAAATTAAATGACACGTTTCACCATTTTTCAGCATCTCTCTACTGCATGACTCCAGCACTCCTCCTCTTTGAGCAGCAGCTACTAGAGGGGGTGATCCCATACAACACCTTGGCCTCACTTCTCTGCTGACACCAGGGATGAGGGACAAGTAAGACTACAGCGAGGGGAAAGCCAGACCTCGGGATCCACCATGCTTAATGTCCATCCTTATACCTACCCCACTGCACAAGTCTGTCACCTACAAGTCCTTTGCCACCCAGTCCATCCCTTGCCCTCTTCCTACCTCCAGTGCGTGCAGGTGAAGCATACAGGAGCCTTGCATGAAAGAAAGGGAAAAAATTATAAAATTGCCCACAAAACCTAAGGTTCTACAAACCAAAATGAAGGGACAACAACGGACCTGGGCTCTGCCTCAATGAAGGTCATCTGCCTTATCCATAACCACTTCCCAAAGAGGTTTTTATCCTCCCTAGGTGATCTTGCAACAGTTTCACGATGATAACAGGAAGTTTTCCCAATATCTAGCCTCAATAATTTTGGCAAATTAGCAAATCAGTAAATTAAGCTGCCATGGAAAGGAGCTTACACGTTGGAAGTCTGTTAGATTGCACAACAGTTTTCTTTTAGTTACACCGAACAAAGTGAGTTCTTTCAAACTCTTCTCACGTTTCTCAATCTTCTTTCTGGACACTTTCCAGAACCTCTGCGTCTTCCCTGGAGCAAAACACAAAACTGGATTGGATGACAATGATGAGGCCTGCAAAGCGCCGCACATGAGTAAGTCACCTCCTGTGTCTTAGGATGACACTCTTTGCAGAAGCCCAAAACAGGATCCGTCTCTTTTGCAATAGCATCTCACTGATAGTCTACACTTCATTTGCAGCCCTCTAAAAATCCTTGGTCATTTTCTATTCATCACTCTCCAGCTATCCTGACTTAGTAAAGCGAGTACTTTGATTTCTTCTCTGCACACTTTGTATCTTTCTTCATCTCTTATCTGGATTACCCTCTGGTTGTTCAAGGTCACTTTGAACTCTAACCCTGCTCTCCCCAGTGCTTGCAACCCCTCCCAACCTGATGTCATCTGAAAGCTTTATAAACACACTTCACTCTTCCAAACCATGACTGAAATATTGCAAGCTCTCCCCAGAAAGCTGCTCTATTACAGCAGTACTTGGATGAGCAGAGATCTGGGAGTGCAGATCAAGCTTTGTGCCACACAAAAACATTTTGCAAGGACGTGTTTATCTGGTCAGCTGCAACCTTTGAAAATACAGATGTTCATTTCAAAACTAACTCATGTGGTGAAGGTAGGAAACATTAAAGTTAATAGGATCCGTGTAATGGAATCAATACAAGAGAGAACCATTCCCCAGTTAATTGTGTTTTTGTGCTCTTCCAGCTACAGTTTGTCAGCCACAGGCTCAGACAAAGGAAAAGGAACCCAGATGAACCCCAAAGTGCAACATTATCCATGCAGCTGCACGAAGACAAAGATTCAGTGACGAATGAATTAAAACTGATTTCAGTGAGCAGCACAAGAAGAAAAGGACAGTGGGGTAAATCTCATCCCACCTCGCTTTACTTTCATACCACTGCAGCCACCAGGATCCAATTCTCAATTACTTGTAATATCGCAGCATACAAAAAGCCAAATCAGCTTTCCCCTTAAAAGTTAAGGTTCTGAAGTCATTCAGTGTACAAAATGCTAAAGTCTGATTTTAATAGATCCCATCAAGCTGCTCCCAGCCCCCCTGAGCTCCAGCAGAGCCTCCCGGTGAGCAGCGCTGGGGTCTGACTGCACCTCCCATCCAGCACAAAGGGAACGTGGAAATTCGTGGTACAGTTTCTATAGCTGAATAAATACAGCCGCTGAGAAAACATTCTGGAGAAACAGACACTTTAAAAGCCCGTTTTAATTGGAAAAAAAATATTTTTCCATTATTTCCTTTTCAATGTTTACAACCCTACAAACCATTATTTTCCTAAACAGTTTTCAGCTGCAGCTTTTCCATGACATGCACAAGAAGCTCTCTCAAGCAAAGCCTTCTGAATAGACTGCAGGGAAAGTATGTGTATCTTATACTTGTAATACTGGAGCACGCTTCTTGGCACCAAGAACCCAGACAATGCTACGCTTCCAGAAACCAACACACAAGAAGGAATTTTCCCTCTTCTTTTCCATTATGTTTTATCTTCTTGTTATTCAGCCCGATTCCAATATGCAAAGTTCCACCTGTTAGATGCCGATAGCTTTTAACAGCCCCTGTGTACAAACAGCTGTCCACATCGCCTCGCAAACAACATGGTGCAAAACTCTCCCTCACAATCCAAGGGTTAACACACTTCCCAGCAACTTATCCCAAGTTCCTGCAAGCAGGGGGAAGGCTGCTGAATACCTGCAGCTGCAAGCAGCGTTTCTATTTGCAACACGTCCAGAAAACCACTTTTACTAACCACAAAATGGCCCGGTAATGAGAAGGCAATGAGCACCTGAAAGACTTCTGGCTACAAAAGAGTCAGCACTAAATAAAGCAGAGGCAGGACGGGGCAGGAGAAGCGCCTTTCACGCCTGCTTTCACTGCTCCACTCCCTGCTCAACCTACATGTGTGAATTAAGCTCTATTTATAAGCCTTCCACCCATTTTCTTTTTTCTTTCTTTTTTTTTTTTTTTCCAAGCAGCCTTAATATAGTGCAGTTGTTATTTTGTTTCTGTCGAACTTAGCAACAGGAAACCCTGTCAGTCCTGCAGCAAACTTTCCATTCTCCTGACACTCCCATTCCTGCACCAGAAAAGCCAGATTTCTAAAGAGGTGTTTGATGGGGCGGGAGGGGTGGAGGAGGTGGGGGGGGGGGGAAGAAGAGAAGAAAGAACGCACAAAAAATCCCCAGTGCCTGTCAAACATGCAAAATGGAAGCCAGACTCTGTGTTTCTTCCCTTTTCCTTCTTGTTTCGGAGGCTTGAAATGAAATGTGGGGAGCATTCCCGGGTTCTAATTTGCACTTTCTAAATATGCCTTAAAGTACTACCAGGTACGTGAGTATTAGTCACGATATCTCTAATAAAGGGTCAGTAAAACAACATCTGCATCTTTACCCTCACGCATCCCATTAATGAATATCAGACACACAAATGTTACCTCGAAAAGCCATTAGTTCTAGTCCCTGGCTAAGTCGTTGAGCAAACAGCTACAGAAATAAAGCCTTCACTTGTTAAAAACAAAATAAACCTGATTTTATTACATGCTTTGGCAAGACTGTGCTGCTGCCTAAAGAGCTTTACTGTGGGATGAGCAAAGTTTTTGGTGCTCCACCCTGCAGTGTTAACTCATCTTCGCAGTGCTTTTTTTTCTTTTTAACAGCTTCATCATTGCAGGCTGACACACAAACACAGCTGCTCAGCAGCAACATGCATGAACACAGGCTTGGAGCAATTCAGCATTTACAAAATACTTTTCTTCAGGAACAAGAAGCTACGTATAAAACGTAGGAACAAATGCGCACACAGCTAAGAAAGGTGAGAGCAAAAACTCAGCTCTTAGTAAAGCAGAACGCACATTAGGGGCTTTTTAAACCAAAATCACATTCCTTTCAAGCCCAGTATTTATATTATTATTGCAAAGCAGAGGGGCCAGGGGAAACGGCAAAAAGGACACAACTCATTTTGGATCTCCAACACAACCTTTTGCTGTCATTTCCCCTATCTGAAGAATCCGGGGCTTTCCCTCCTCTTTGTGTATCTTCTATTCAGAATGTAACTCTGTTCATCCAGCACTGCCTCATGAGGAACCTTTGGGGCCAATCTGCACTCCTCAGACTGGAACAACCTCTCCGTGTGGCTTCACCCAAAGCGTGCTAAGTACACAAGAGCTAAAAAAGCCCATGCTATTTTTAAAAGGCTGAAACAAAACGTGACCACGACTGACGATGTTCAGCCCTGCAAAGGCTGCAGAAGGAAACCAGAGCTTTGCTGACCACCTGCAGCATTTCTTTAAAAGGCACATAAAAAACAGAAGGTGAAAATGCACAAATGACACTCACCGCTTCCTCGCGCGCTGCGCTCTCTCTGGGGTCCTTCATAAAATCCACCTCATCTTCAGTTTTCATTTTCAACTTCCCTGTGAAAACAGAGGGTTTGCACAGGCAATTTAAAACAAACTCCTTTCAGCACTGCTGAGATTCTTCTGCTTATTCAAACCAGCCTCACAAAAAAAAAAAAAAAGAAAAAGAAAAAAAGAACCAACAACAAAAAACCCAAACCCCTTCAACAAGTCCATCTCACTCCCAACATCTGGTTTCATTCCTGACTTTGCTGCTTGTTTGTTATTAGTTTTAACAACTGTCGTGTCTGAGCTGAAGGAAACATTGAGAAGAGCACAAGCATGGGGAGAAGCACGCTGAGCAGTCTTGGGAGGCTCTAGGTGAGGCTGAGCACATCCACGTGTCTTTCTCCATGTATTCACTTGGCTCCCATCCCTCCAGTAAAAGAACTGAAGCTTTTTTTGCTGTTTTTGCTCTTACCATAGCCTGAAGAGATTGCAAGAAATGAGCCTTGCCTTCTCCATTGATATTTTCAGTGCTGATAAATCGCAAGCTTCAGAAATTCAGCCCTGCCTTAAAGATGGTGGTTAGGATGGGGGACCAGGAGGGCAAAGCCTTGTCTGGTGGGGTTCACCAAGTCCCAGCTGATTCCCACTCTTCACCACCACTGTGGTACAAACACCATCCCAACTGCTTTCTTTGCCCAGCAAAACTACAAAAGCTTTCATCAGTCACCACTCCCCGAGGGTTCCTTCCCTTCTGTGTACCTTTCCCTGGCATTAACATCAAAGCAGTAAAAACCTCTTTCCCCCAAGCCAACACCTCTCACAACACACGTGAACACAAAGAATGAACACAAAACCAAACATGTTTCAATGACAGGATTTCTGTCTGCAAAGCAGTGTGTCCAACAGACTCATTTATGTCTGTGGCAGTGCCATGGCCATGCAGCCCAGGCTGAAGAGCAGCGCAATGATTTGGCAAAGCCACCCATGCGTTAGGGCTAAAACCCTGCCCGAATCCCATTCCCTTTCTGACTTCTACGAAAAACAACCAATGAACATCAACACCTTAAGGGAGATGCACATTTCCAGTGACTTTTTCTCGTTTGAGGAAGCAATTTTGCAAGAGGTTTGATCCACGGCCACTGGAAAGCTGCTGTGACCGCTGCTGCCGATTGGCTTTCCATCTGCTTTTGACTCCGGGGTCTTAGGAATATTTGCAAGGCACTACTGACAAACTCAAGTTGGCATAATTTCATCGCAGTGAGTTTGAGTACTGCTACAGATAGACTCAGAAATGACACAAGTTTCTGAGAGTCCTATGTATTAGAGAAGCAGAAATCATAGTCATGGGGAGAACAGCTTGGGGTCACAGCAATGCCATGGTGAGGAGAAGCATGTCCTGACAACATGTCCTCCATACAACTGAACAAGTTACTGAGTTTCCGCTTCCCCACCGGACAAACACTAATTACACTTCCCTCCCTGATAATGGACAACCCAAACAGTATTTGTGGCACTGTGATGTCCTGAACGTAGTGGCAAGAATTCTGCTCCTTGTGAGGCCATCAGTTAGCATTTCAGCTCAATTCTTTTGCACTCCTCCACTTGCACCTGAACAGCTAGAACCCCAAAGCAGAACCTAGCATTATAATATTATAAGAGGCTTCTGGGAGCACAGAGCACCTTATCACACACATAATCAGTGTCATTTCTTACCAGTTCATCCTGCTACTCTGCAAGGGGAAGGAGCCTGTAGCAAGCACTCATTCATGGAACCATAAGGTGAAATATAAGGTGATACACTTCTACCTTGCAATGAATGTTTGTTTTCAAGATCCATAGCAAAAACATCCAGGAAATCTCTCCCAGAAGAGGCCTCAGCAGTAACAATTACAGTATTTGTTAATGGCTATAAGGCACCAGATCCCAGCTACACAGCTTGACTTCACCGGAGTCGCCTGCTGTCAAGAAGCTGCATCAGCTTGGAGGCATTTGTCAGCACAGCCCTATATAATTACAAATACAAACTAAAAAAATTAAAAATCCAATTTTTGATTTGGAGTCATGGCAGCAGCAGTACCAGCTGATTGAGTCTCTGATAAATTAGCATGACAATAAGCCTCTGACCACACGCGTTTCTGAGAAATGGCCTCATGACCTACACTTCCTATGAGAAGGCTCTATTGTAGCCTATTGAGACAAGATTTGATTCATTCTGAGCACACCAGCGACTCACAAAATGCTCCACACAGCCCCAGACTGCGGGGAAAACTCCGCAGCACTGACACAGCAGAGAGGAATTCACACAGAGCCCTGACAGACCAAGGACACAAAACACACACACAGAGCAGGCATCAACACGAGTGATGCATGCAACACCAGCAAACACCCCTCTGACGTCTCCAACTATTATTTTTTCTGCTTCAGTTACTGTCTTATAGGGCTTTTGAGTCCCTTCTCCTTTAAAAACTCCTCTACACAGCCTCATGCCTCCAAGAACCCAACCAGAGAGAGATCTGAGCTGTAAGGAGGCACAATCCAAGCAGCTCCCCACATTAACACTCCCAGGTGTTGCCTTACAGCCACTCCCATCCTATTGAAACTTCAAACTGCCAGAGCACAAAAATAAATTTCCTTCTGCAAGCAGCTGTCTAATGCACCTTGACGCCATCCTAAGTATTTACTAGTGAACTCCTGAGTAACGTTTACTGATTCTCTCTTGACAAGTCAACTTCCTAAAGCTCAAAGAACTCGAAGAAAAAAACATTACTAACAGAGACCCCCCATAAACCAAACCTTTCCCCCACCCCCAGTTATTCTGCCTATGCCACCCTTCTCTCCTGTATTCAGACTAAGGAAAAGCTCCCAGCATCACGTCAGTGAAATACCTTAGAACTTTAGAACTGCATGATTTATATCATAGCTGATTTGCTTTTAAATCATTTCTATCTTATTGTCTGCTTGCTTGCTTATTCAGTGCTGGGAAAGAGAATGCACTGTATAATTATCTCATAGCAAAGAAAAAAACAGCAACTGAGAAAGTTCAGCCACTTGCATCCAACAGCTGCTGGAACAGGTGGGATGCAAAGGGAAGCCCAGCTGCACTGAATTCACCTACAATTTAACTCCAGGCTGCAGTGACAAGCTCCTTTCTCCCTCCTGCAATTCAGCCACTTGTTCCCCATCTCTTGGCGTTACCTGAGGCGTTTTTCTATCGGCTCAAGCAGCACAAAAGCAGGTCTGAGCTGTGCCCACAGAGGCTGTGCTCCCCACCATCACACCGCTCCCTCCCAGCAGATCCCAGCAGTCAGGCGCTGACTCCTCGCTGCATTCCCACCCTGCTGAAGTGCACTGGGAAACACCCGGCTGTTCAGCCCGACAAAAGCCTCGCAGACAGGAAAAGGCAGAGGGGGCAGGGCTGGCCCTCTCTTTAAATGACCTAATGCCACCAATTAGGAAGTGGCTTTGCACAGTTCAGAAGGACACCAGCAGCTGTTTCAGTAAAGGAAAGAAAATGCAAGGCAGCACTGCTCAATCTTCTGATTTCATGCTAGTAAAAATACAGGGGGAAAAGTGAAGGAATAGCTCAAATTAGCACTAAGCAAACAAACCTCAAGGCCCAAGAGCACAGCATGAAAATACGGGAGTCTAAATATCTCTCCCATTCATCCCTTCCCCAGAAGGGATGTATGTGCTGGAAACCTTTCTGCACAGCTTCATATGACATGATGTCCTTTCCCGGCCTCAAGTGCCAGCCACGTGCCATCCTTTTCAACTCCAAGTTTGAAGTTCAACCCCAAGTTAAACTGTAACTTCAGTTTTCTCTCTCAGATGAGGAGGAGGAAAAAAAAAAAAAAAAGCAAACTCCAGACACCTACACTTCCCCTGCACAGCAGCCCCTTGCACTCACTTCCCTTCCTTTGCTGATGTGATGCTAGAGGCAAACCAACAAAGGAAAGCTACGCAGCATTAAAGGAAGTGATTTTCCATACCTGTGGCAGGCTTGGTTCCGCGAATGGCCTGGCTGACGTCCTTTCTGGCAGAGGATCTTAAATCTGCCTCTCCGTTAAGGCCAGCTGCCACATCCACTGCAGGCTGGGGCTCAGGCCCCACTTTTCCTTCAGCTGGTAAGCCAGGAGATGAAGGGGTCTCAGCTGCAAAAACTACGGCATCAAAACTTTTTACCATTTTAGGAACTTTATCCAGAGAAGAGCCATCATCTGCCGAAACTGAACTCTTTACTCCCACATGCTCTGGTGACTCAACAGCATTGAAGCCAGAGGAGCAGGGTGAAGGGGTTGGCTCCGATATGCCTTGGCTTTGCTTACCCTCAGGCTGTGCTGTGACCAACCCCTGTGCTGCTGTCGAAGTGGGAGCAGAATCGCCATCGCCGCCTGGACCCATGGTGTCACTGCTGGAGTCACTGTCACACGTGGGCTCCTCCGCAATGGGCTGCAGCGTGGCTCTGGGAAGGACACTTTCCATCTCCCCCTGCTCTTCCTCATACCCTGTGATGGAGGTTACCGCTGCTATCTGCAACGCTTCCTCAGCCTCAAAAGCAAGGCTCGGGGCTTCCACTGCCAAAGCATCCTTCAATTCGGGGGTGCTGCTGCGCGGGGAGACATGTTGCAGGTTTGGACCACGCTCCTGGGGCAGCCCGGCATCCAGACAAGGGTTACTCCCTGCTGCTGGCCCAGTTCCTTGCATGATGCTATCTCCTGCTCCTGCTGTCCCAGCCTGGTTGGGGCCCAGCTCCTCCAGCCCAGCACCCGCATCACTGCTGGCTGCGGGCCTCTCTGCACTGCCGACAGAGGATTTCACAACTGTGGCAAGCAGATTCTCTGACAAAACCTGCTCCTGGCTGCTGTTTGAGGTCTCCCTCTCAGCTTTGGCTGTGTCTTCTCCTTCAGCATGAGGCTGTAGGCTTTGCTTGGGAGGGCCTGGGGCCCCCGCATAGTCCTCCAGCACACCGGCCACCCCGCCACGCTCCTGGCTGTGCGGCGGGGCCAGCTCAGCCGATCCTGCTGCCACTTCCTGCTTTTGTTTAGATTCTTCATTACGAATTACAAAGGGTGTGCCTACAAAATTATCCTCTGTACAGTCTGCGCCCTTGGAACATGGAGGTAAAACAGGGTCACTACTGCACAGGGGTGTCTCCTGTCCAGGAGGTGCCACTATAGCATCTCCTGTCCGACCTGAAGCCAGGTCCCCTGCATCAGGATGGGGCATCCCTTGCCCTGAAGCAATTTCTGTTCTCTCTTCAGCTTCCGAAGGCTCCTTCCCTGCTGAGAATGTGCTCACATCCTCCAGAGGGAGCAATCCGGGCTCCTGCACACTCCCTTGAGTGCCATCCAGCTTTAACTTGTCCCCTGTTTCATCATGAACAGTAGTTTGATCAACAGGAGGGCAGCAGCTAGCAACTTCCTGAGCTCTGTCTGCAGAATCTATGCTTCCTCCCTCTCTGTTGCTGATGGTATCAGTTCCCACTGGCTCCTTGCTGTGGGCTCCACTGCCCTCCACAGCTTTGCCTATACACTCAGCAATGTCACTGCTCCCTTGGCAATGCGTGGGTTTTTCACTGCTTTGTTTAGTTCCACCAATATTGCCATTTTCAGCTCTAGCATCAAGGCCATCGGTTTCCACGCTGTCTTCCAGGGAGGGTGAGCTGGATTTGCCATTTGTGCTACCCACTTTCACCTGCCCTTCAGGTTCCACACTCTCCCTGCTGTCTTGGCTTTCCGCATCAGAAAACACTGGCACACACACAGGTACCTTCACTCCATTCACTGAAGGCAACGGTGCCCTGGTGCTCGCAGTGACTCTCGGCCTTTCCTTGACACAGGCACCACCTTTGCTCTCCAAAACTCCATTGTTTACCAGATCAGTGCCTGACACTCCAGTCTTATCATTATCACCACTCTTGCAAAGACCAACAGAGACATCAATGTCAACATTTGCATTTGTACTGTCACACTCCGGTACCACTCCCACATTTGCATCCTCCCCACCTGCACACTCAGTGCCATTAAAGCCATCAAGCAAGGGCTGAGCAACACTTGCGGGTTCTTCCTCAGCTGGCAATGGTTCTCCTGGATCCTCAGTCCTCGTTGCAGGGGTCTCAGCCATCCCATCCTCTACCTGCTGCTGGCCCGGCGCCCTGTCAGCTGCCCCAGCACAGTTCCTGCACTCGGTCTGGCCCATGGCCACATCCACGCCCTCTCGGGAAGCTGGGGCTTCACCGGCAGTTTCAACCACAGCAACAGTACTTTCAGCTGCACACTCCTCAGCAGCTCCCACTTCCTGATGGGTGCTATCTTTACTGCACAAGCCGGCTTGATCCAAAACAACTCCAGCAGATGTCATTCCAGCTTCCTCATTTGTATTTCCACAGGATGGGAGATTTACAGCACCGTTGACGCCTGCACACGGGCTGACTGTGCAGCCGTTCTCATCAGATACAGTCCCGGAGCTCTGAGCAGAGGCTGGCCCCTCCTCTTCCTTTTTACACAACGTCACCGTATTTTTGCTTTCACAGGAGCACTCTGGGCTCTCCACCACCCCCAGACTCAGTGAGCCGTTTGGCGCATCAATAGCACCAGTTATCAGTGACCTACTGGGGCACTCGTCCTTCTGGTGGGCTTGGTCTGAGAGCTGCCCACTGTCAAGGTGAAGGACATCAGATGGACTTTCCTTCCTTCCTTCTTCTGGCATTCCTTCTAGGCTTTGAGATGAAGCAGTTGAGTGACCAACTGGCTCAGCTCCATTGCCACAGCTATTTCCAGAGGCTCCCAGTACAGTCTTAGTCTGCTTCCTTGAACTCTGTTAAAAAGCAAAAAGAAAATTTTGATTATTTTGCTCTGTCACACTCTTACACTGTATTCAAAATGTATAAGACCTATATCTTAACAATACAAACACCTATTTTATGTGGCTCCTGCTGTACACCTGCATGACGCTTGCGACCTCTAGGGCAGAACCACAAATATATCACATATTGACTTGCTATGCAGTAATACTAAAATCATTAGAATAACAGAAACATTGGCTGGAAGAAGCATCTGGAGGTTGTGCAACCTCCCCTCTGAAGTTGGCCTCTATCAGCAGTGCTCCACCAGATCAGGCACGACTCTGGCATACCAAATTCCAAAAGCCTCCAATGATGGAGGAACAAGCATCTCCCTGAATAACCTCCTTCAGTGCCATCCCACCTTCCTGTGAAGGACTTTCTTCCTAGCAGCATGTCCAAAATACCCAGAGCTGAAATTTGTCCCTCTAACTCCTTGCTACACCATCTGCAAAGAGTTTGGTTCTGTCATTTTTGTCACTGCTTTTGAAGTAGCTGTACACTTATTTCTTCAGTGCACTTCAATCCAAGATCAGCAAACAGCAGAATTCAATCTACCAAATAATGGTCCCAAAGGGCTGAGCAAACATTGCTTGAGAACAACTTCAGATCCCTGCCCAACGGCACCTCCCCAGTTCTGATCAGTGTTGCCCTGTTTCCCTCTCCTGTAGAAACACCACTTCAGACAAGGCAGTCGGCTGTCAATGTCTTTTCACAGCCACTTGTCTCCTACTTCTAGGACCAAAGTAATCATCTAATCCCTCCTAAGAAATGCATGCATAATTAAATATCTGAAATATATTTCCTAAGTGGAAATGAAAATTTGAAAATGACAACATCCTATTAAAATTAATATGTGCAATATTGTGGAACAGTAGCTAAGTACTCAGTTCCTGTCTAATCTGCATTTCCTTTCAAGCATGTCCGCTTTGTCCAGCATTCACTATGCTTTATAGCTAGATACAATCAAATCTTTACTTAAAAAGAGCCATCTCTGCTTTAATATCATCTTTTTATTCTCCTCTCTGCTGTATTCTAGTGTTCAGGAACCAGAAAAAAATGATTTGTTAAAATAATGAGCAAGCCCAGCCCTTCAGAGGAGACCCCACAGAGCTTCCTTGGTTTTCTGTAGGAAGCAGCTCTGAAGGCAAGCTCTGGGCTTTCACTGTATGCTTTCAGAGGGCACACTGCTTTCTCAGTCAGCAGGATAGGACTGCCTGCAGCTCTCTAGAAATTCAGCACTCTAATGAATCTATTTCAAACTTCTTTATTTTTTGCATATACAGGCAGTGGCGACGATCTCCGCTGCCCTCAGGATATTGTGTTTGCTATTTTTTCCACAATCTGAGGTTTGCAACTGTGACCACTGCCACCAACTCACTGAATCACAGACCACTAAACCTAATTCTGGTGTCTGTGATGGCTCTCCTATTTAAAATAAGCCCTTCACCTCGCTCCCACACAGCTGATGATGCTGCCAGCCATGGCACAGCTCGTGTCTTCTGAGGCAGCCTAAGGCAGGTGAGTCCAGGAGGCAGGCAGCACGGGCTTGCAAAGCTGCCATCTCCATCTAACACCGTGCTGCTGGCCTCCGGTCAGGATGGATGGATGGATGCAGACAACGGGACAGTTGCTCTGGAACGAGCACGGATTTCAACAGGAGGGTCCAAAGCAGCCCCAGCACCATCATGGCAAAGTCGCTCTGCCAACAGACTGAAAAATACAGCCGTCTCCAAAGGAAGCCAACTGGCTTCTAACTGACCCTAAATGAACCTAAATGAAATAATTACAGGGCTGCATTCCAAATCCAAATCAGATTAGATGTGAAGTGAAACAGCGCTGGAAAGAAAAAGTCTAAACATAGCCTTTTGTGATTTCATTGTCAGACATGTACACGTCTGGCATTCGCTCCAGCAAACATGAAACAAGCTCGATGTACTGGCCGTGTACAGTGTTATTTGATGGAAAGGAGAAGCACAGGGAAGAGACTTCGTGGTAAGTTCTGCTGTACCACCAGTTCCTGCTCAGGTCGGGAGTAATTAACACCACCCACTCAGAGAAGGCTGCTGACGGCTTGGGTGGCCAACAGCTTTGGACCCCATTTTCCTGCAGACAACAGTTCTCTCCTTGCTTGTTAAGGGAACAGAAACCCCCAGGAGCAGTGTTATTTAAACTCCACACCCCCCCCCCAGCAGCAGATCTGTGGGTGATTAAACAGTGGCAGTCATGCTACATGCAGAGTGGTTCTGAGAAATCGCACAGAAGCGTCTCGCTGCTTCATCTTCCTCTCCTGAATGAGTCCCTTGGGCACTGATTATCAGGCACTGAGGGGAAATGTCCAAAGTCCCTGCCTCGTGTCAGCGCTGCTCCTGTCACCAAACCACCATGGGCCCCAGCAAGGGCAGGCCTGTGGGTATGTACACTGCATGGCTGGGGTTGGCTTGTCCCCTAAGTCCCACAGGCACGAAGAAAACCACTGTTTTCTCCATCAGCATCCCAAAGGCTTTCCCTTCACTCTTCTTTCTGACCCCTTCTTGCCTGGACAGAGACATATCTACTGTGCTAACCCCTACTGACCCCAAGACCCTCCAGAGCACATCTAATGCAACTTGACACTCCTCTCTGCCCTTCTTATGTGTTCTTGTGCTAAGGATGCCCCAAACAAAGGTAAAGGCAGGAAACAAAAGAGAAAATAGCTAGGTTTCTATCTAGACTAACTACTAAACATGCACCCAAACGGTTCCTATGTGTGGACATCCCTACCAGGTACCAGGCTGCTGCAAACACACGCTTCTCTTCTGTTCAATCACCACAGGGGTTTCCTTACCATGTGCTGGTGGCTTTGCATGTGCATCTGAAGCTGCCGTATGTCACTCTCCAGGCTGGCTTTTGTCCCTTCCTTGGTTTCAGCTGTTAGCGTGTAAACATCGAGCTGCTGGTGGTGCTTGACGCAGTAGTCCCCAGTGTGCACAGTGTGAGACAGGGTGCTCCACGAGTCGGGCTCCGTGGCTTCCTCTCTGAAATAAAAGCAGTGCGGGTTAACCTGCGAGTGAGAAGGAATGCTGCATTGCAGGACACGCACGCTGTTCTTCACGCTGGACAGTCATCTAATCAATGGCCCAAGTGAAGCAGAGCATAGGCTCCAGGGCCAGACAGCCGAACACGCACGCACACACATCTCCATCCTGGAAATGAAGGTGACTTACAGCTAACTCCAGCCACCAGCTCTATTTCACAGCCTTTCTAAAGTAGAGAGACCTGCTGTTTTCCCCTAGACTGGAAGAGCATGAGCAATTAGCAACAAGGGGTACAATTGCTTTTTAAACAGAACCTATTGCAGGTGTAGATCACCAGAGTAGCTGCTGTGGAACAACAGATACCCGAGAGACAGACCGCAGTGGGACAAGTCAGAGGGAGTGACAATTCTGTGATACAGATACTACAACTTCTACACTGAAACCAGCACACCTCTGCACAAAAACCTAACAGCCATCAGCTTGTAGCAGTTTTGTCACTCCTGAAATGAATTTTGCTTGCCCTGTGAAACCGCTTCTATGCAAGTCATTCTCTCTTTTATGAGACAGCCAACCTTCTGCAGTAATAACACAGATGTTGTTTTTATCAAAGGAAAAGAGGATAAAAGGGTGCTGTTATAGATTTCAGATTGAAAAAATAACTCAGCAGTTACTTCTTGTCAGTAGAAATTTCTACCTAGTCATCTCAAACCCTGACTGTGAACAAGTTTGCAATCCAATGCTATACCACCTCGTGTGGCTGCTGCCACCAAGCTGTACAGAGACAACATGGGCACAATAAGGGCGTGTGGAAGCATTCACCTTACCAAGGTGCTCACCTAAAGCTTCAGGTCCAGAACTTCCATTTTGAATCAGAACTGGCTCAGGGTAGCAAAGATCTGTTTGAATGATCATGAGGCCAACTGAGAGCCACAGCCAACGGAGGGCTAACAGCTGCCTCCACAGTGCCCCAGCGCAGTGATCCAACCCCTCCCTGTGAGTCATTTCGGGTAAAATCAGGACACAAAGCAAATTCAGACAAAGCAAAACTATGCCTTCCACCCTTCTCCACAATGTAACTCAATTGACTTCTGCAGAATTACTCTTGATTTAAACAGAATCAATATTTCTATAGAGAAGCAGGAGGGAAGCGTACAGTTTTTTGCGGCTGTTAGTACAAATCCAATCATTGAGGCACTGAAGTCGACCAAGACATCACAAGCACAAAGAGGCTACGGAAATGACCTTCCTTTATCAAGGAAACACAGACATTTCTGTATGGACTATTTTTCTTTTCAGCTGCCATGTATAAGAAATCACTGTGCTCAGGGCCTACTATCAAAGCACGATGAAGCAGTCATCACAAAAAACCATATTCACCCATTCATGAAGCTGCCACCAGCAGGCTTCCAGAACACAACAGCCTTCTCCGCTTTCTCATCAGCTTCAAGTATACTTACAAACAGGCACCCACAGAGCAGTCTGCAGAGCTGCAGCCTCAGAGAACCCTCAAAGGCTTCAATACCTGGAGTGGGATTGCAGGAGAGCACGGCGCCCTGCAACGTGATGAGTGCATCCCACCACTGCTGCAATCTGCCACCTCCATCTTCTGCAGGTCAGGCAGATCATTTGTGAGCAGCGGTGATTGCTGCTAATTCAAGACAGCACTTCCTTTCCATATTAGTTGTAAATCTGCATTGCAGTCTACAAAGGGGCTTATAAGCCTTTTGGAATAGCCTAGATCTTTCTCACATCGCAACCAACCAGATAACAGAGCTCTCATTTTTAGGAGCATCACCCATGTTGTACATAACTAAGATGGCTCAATCCACCGACTCGTCCAAGTCATCCCTCTCATACAGACACATCCAGGCACTGACGTACTGCAGCAAAGAGGACAAATGAGTGCTCACAAGTGTCAACTTGTTTGCACACTGCTATTTCTGTTGCTCAGACAATCACTTTCAAGAGGACGTAGATCACATGAGAATGCCATCCTGCTCCTTTGCCCCTGTGTTGAGCTTAACCATTTGTGTGTCTCTTTTCTGGCTCACTGCAAGCCCTACCTTCTATTGAGAAATTACAAAAACATACATTCTTTCCGAAAATAGGATTTAGACCTACTTTTACTGCTCCCTCATTATGAAAAGCATTCATTTTGTACAGATTAGCAATTTCTGCAGTGGTTGTAATTGTACAGGAGTACATACCCAAGGCGAACTACGAGGAGATAAAAACAAAAACGCAAATATTTACTGAAGATTTATTAACAGACATAGATAGAAACTCCAGCATTTAAGTAGCCTGAAAATCTGCTTTCACTCAGCAAAAGTCTTAACCCACAGTTTGCCTGCAACAGGGGAAGCAAGGCTTACAGGATCTGACCATCCTGGGTCAATTCTTTCTGCCCTTTCAACAGAAATACTTGGGAGACAGCACTGAATAGAAAGTTTCCCTTCTACCAACTTTGAGCCAAACTTTCACTGATGGAAGCATCTCCCTTGGCACAAAAGTGAAGGACTCACCAACGAAGTCCACAGTGGTCATATGAATGCCTTCACCTCCAGCACAGCCCGCGGCACTGAGCCGTGTCCCACTGAGAAAACCTGGCGGGAATCTCCAGCCCCGCTCTCCACTGCTTCACGCCCATTTTCTGTTGCACAGAAAGGAAATGGCTGCCTTCATGAAAGAACAGTGCTTGCGTGGAGAAAGACTTACCAGCGGCCTTTCACCCATGGAAACGGGGCTCAAGGAAGGATGTTGACCCCAAACACAGCGAGCGGAGGAGCAAACTCAACCCCTCACCACCTCCAAAATGCTCTCGGGCCATGACTCAAACCACAGCATCACCGGCACATCCGACACATGAGAAACTACAAGCAATACTATTTTTTAGACTTCCACAAGCAAGTGCCATCCCCGGTGAAGGAGGAGCAGAGCGCCGTATTTGTGTGCAGATCTATTCTGGTCTTGTAGTGAAGCTGATAGGATGGCCCCCAGCCAAGGAGGGGAGGAAAGCAGCAGAGGAACGGCTGCAACGACCCAGTGCAGCTCCCAGCTTCCTGCAGATACAGGCAAGATATTTATAAAAAGAGGGAAGATAAGCGACAGGGGGAGAATAACAAATGCGCTCTGACTGGAGGAAAAGCCCTTCAAAGTTTCAGAAGCGGTCATCAGTTGGAGCGGTTTGAAATTCGGCTCCGTCAGGGCTCCAAAAGAAGAGCCTTCCCGTACATAGAGAATAGGATTTACCCAAAGGGGAGAGGAAGGCTGAGGAAGAGATTGGACAAATGATCCAAACAACCTCAGTGGGTTAAGCAGAGCCTCACACTAGGAAGGGGGATCCCACAGGCGGAAGGCGGTGCAGGAAGTCAAGGTGCTGTTTCCTGGGGAAATCCCTTCACATTTCTCAGCCAGACCTTGGCTGGGACAAAGCAAACCCAGCAGCACTGCTGGCTCTTGGGATCCTACTGTGACCTTAGCCACAGCTGCGGGGTGGTTCTGAAAGCATCAGATTCATGTGATAAAGAAAATCACAATTAAAAAAATAATAAAAAAAAAAGGCTATGGTTATGGCAAAAAGCTAGGAAATGCTAGAATTTAGATGCTCTTTTCTCTAAGACAAATAAAACCAACACTGGATTTTAGTGTTACATATCTTACATTCCTATTCAAATTTTGATTTATGGCTGTTATTTTAATAACTCACTGAAAATACGAGATCAGACAGATAGGCTGACTGTGGTCCGGGATAAACAAGGAACGGTGCCTACTGGGACAGGAAGCTGGGCTTTGGTGGCTGTTGCACAACACGTCCCTAACACTAACAACTTACATACATCAAGCCAACAGCCCCTCCAATGAAAATCCACACCCAGATTTATCACAGTCACCAGAATGTCAGAGCAAGACTCCAGAAAACCATAACAAACAAAAGGCAGTTTCCTAAGCTCATCACACACAGGGGTGTGGGGCTCCAAAGTATCTCCTTGTTCTTCAAACAAAACTGCAGGCAGCCAGCAACAACCAGCTACTGATAATGCCAACAACTGCTCGTTACTAATTACAATTAATGCTTAGTGGAAATGCTATTACTCCTGAAAGCTCTCAGTGTGTCCCTTTTGACTGTGTGTTCCCTTCGTATCCTTTTAACAGTTGTTTTTTGTTTTGTTTTGTTTTGTCCCACTGCAAAGTAAATGGAAACAGATAAGACAGTAAATCAATGCTGTTGCAGAATGTTGGGTAACACAGGCCTTGCATGGGTCTGATCAGCTCTTTGTCGACAGCCCCACTGTCTTTAATGGCATACACAGCACAAGTGCACAGCAGCACTTCCATATCCCTCCCCATTTTTTGGAATATCAGTATGTATCATACAGGAAGACTCAAAAAACACATGCAACTAACACATGGTAGAACGGGTTAACACAAATGGACTGCTCATACACAGGAAAATGATTTAAAGACAGTGTTTATACCTCAGGTGAATGTACCAAAAGCTATTGGAAAACAGGAGAAAAGAAGAAAAAAAAAAACCAAATATTTCTCACACAAAGCAAATCTTCTCACTAACTGGAATGCTTTTGATGTTGAAGGAAACAGTTCATCGCTGCAGAAACGATGAGTAACCACTTACGGTGCTCCACACAAATGTGAACAGCAGAGGGTTTGCATGCTGAACTGAGTTCAGGACTGCATGACTAGCCCTCCAATATCAATTAAATATTCAACAACTGAATTCAAGATATTTAACGCTAACTTCTCAGCCCAACAATCAAGACACTATACAATAGGAAATCATACCAGAGTAGAAAGCTGGCTTGTTCCCTCAACAGTTATTTACAGACTTGCAATCCCAGGACAAGTCCAGTTATCTTAACAAATGCAATATATTTTCTACATCAGAGGGTCTGAACTCTAAAACTCAAACATTTCTCAGGCCTCATCAAATATATTTACCAAACTCTACAGCGCACATTCCACAGGAATAGCTGCCTGTTGTTACATCCATTTTTGCATTTGTTTCACCTTCCTAGCTTTACCTACAAAGGAAGATCTCAGTATGGATTTTGGAGCACTCCAGGAAGAGTAAAAGCTGGTGCGTGCAATGAGTGAGTAAATGGAAGGTAGAAAGCAAGAATGCCTCTTGCTCCATCACGCTGTCCCTGCTGCTGTCTGTTCCCCTGCTGTAATGCCATGACCAGAGAAAAGCCACAGCATCTCAGCATCCTTTTTGCCAGGATGAACTAGCAATTAAACAACTCTGTTGCAAAAAAATCATCTGGAAGTTCATCAATAAAGCACCTGAAACTAGATGCCTTGTGGATCGCTACTACTCCCATGCTTCTGTACCCAAGCAGCAGCATCTACACACAGATCTCTCATCAGATCCTCCATCTTTGCCTTTTATTTTCTCTGAACATCCCTTTAAATGGCAATTAAAAGGTTTATTGCTTGGTTTTGTATGGAAGAACAGAAGGAAAAAACAGGAGATGCATCAGCATTACTTCAGTAAATTCTTCAGCTGCCGATTCTGGTTAGCACAAATGCAAAGTAGAGCAAAGCAATGGGCAGGCGATGCTGCACAACCTGCAGGACACCTGCGTGTCCCCAGCTGCCTCCTGCTTCTTGCACAGGGAACCACAGAGAAAGAAATAACAGAGAGGAGACTCAGAGTGCTGCCACTCAGCTCACAATTTGGGAAAGGATGCAGAGAGGACCAGGTCAGCACACTGTAACACACTGCCACAGCCTGGCACCAAACTCACTGCAGTCGGTGATGTTCCCAGCCCAAAAACCCTGTGATTTCAGAATGCACCTGCACCACACACAGCCGAAGACAAACTGGAGATTTCTGAAATCAAACACGCTTAATGGACTTGCTGAACTGGTGTGTAAAGAAATGAGACACCAGACAAATCCTCTTGCAGCCCTGGCCCAGAAAAGCAGCAAAGAACACTCAATTACAAAAGTAAAGTGACTGAAAACCCTTCCTCATCTGAGAGGCACCACGGAGATTACAGCACAGACATCACCAATTACTTACACAAAATCAGAACAATAGCAAGTGATTATCAAGCATTGCAAAATGTTCACAATAAACTTCTGCTACCAGCAAGCTGTTCCTTATGTGTGTTAATTAAATCTAGGTCAGTTTAACTTTGGAAATCTGCACTAATACTGGTTTATGGCATCACATTCTGGGACACCACGCTGCTACCCGAAGGTTTGACTCACAGAGACACACAGAAGTGCTTCATGGTAATAAGAGGCCAGCAGAGAAAACAGAAAAGCAAAGTGAATGCAAGAAGCACAAGAGACTTGTGCTCTGTATCTTCTCCTATGCACTGACTGGAAAATGCAGGAGTTTTTCTTACAGACATTACTTTTCTCTTACCCTCACTCTCAGCCTGCAAAGGAACACCACACATTCGGCTTCACTGAAAGAAAAAAGAGATCAAAAGATCCTTTTGGGCTGCTGGACGGAACTTTGCTCTGCAGAAATGAAATCAGGTTACAAAATGAGAGTATGTTTTACAGAACAGCACTGCGACTCCGAAATTCAGAACACAAGCTATTTCTTGGAGCCATTTTACTTGCCTGACTTACACTGAAGAACATGGAGCTGGCAGGCAGATTATGTTACTACACTGAACCATATTAAAAAACATCAACCACTGCAAAACGCAGCCGTCCTGTTGCAGAGGCCAAGTTACTCACCCTGCCCTGGTTAGAGCCCTGCTGCCTCCTTGGAGCCCAGTCTTTGCACAGCACAGCAGAGCTGCCAACGCCCTGCAGCCAGCATTGCCCAATTTAAACATGAGGAAGCAGCAGGCTTCAACAAAGGAGCCTTCATTTTTCAATTCACTTCTCCCGCACTGGGGAACTGTTGAAACTCAGAGAGAGCTCATGCTGCCTGCTTCCCAAGGCTTTTCTATGGGAGATCAGGTGCATCCAACCCCTCCAGCAGCTCTGGGTGCATCCCTTCTGCCAGAGGATGCACACCACAAGCTCCAGCCTACAGTAAAAGAAGCTTCCAGACTTGCAGCTCTGCAATGGAAGGCATCTTGCATCCTTAAAACGAACTTAAGAGCTGAAAAGAGAAAGCTCATCTGACAAACAGAAATTCCAAATGTCACCAGCGTCATTAGTTTTTGAGAAAAATATTTACACTGCAGCTGAACCCAGACAAAACTGCATCAACAGAGGTTTTCTGTCTGTTTTTTAATGATTCTGCCTTAATTACAGCAGAACTTCACCCCTTCCCCACACCGACGAAGAGAAGAGTTGTGAAATGCAGGGTCCTACAAATTAGCAACCAAAGCGAACAATAAAATCCCCCCAAGGATAATGCAACACAAAACATGCTGCATTCATTTATTTTGCAAAGTGGAGCTTAATTACTTGTAAAAATAATGGCTCCTTTGTACAAGCTCTCACTAACATGCGTTGCTGCTCCGTATTTTGCTGAGTGGTACACACTGTGTGCCAAATGTGTGTGCATGGTTTATACAGCCTGTGCATAAGCAGAGTGCAGAAAAGAGGTTGCACAGTATCCATTGTGTTTTGACAGCACATAAATAATATATACTCTTGTCATGGAGTTTGGCTGCTTTTCCCTATTCTGAAACTCACTATTTCTCTTCCCAGTATGGATTTTCAGGCACTGATCCCCTGCAACTGCAGAAAGCACCAAGCATAACGAAACTTCTGCTATGGAAACAGGCCACCTTCATTGCATTCACCATCCACTGGAAGCTTTTTGGAGCAACAAGATGCATAGCACACCTGTCAGATGGTTAGGCATGGTATTTCCACCCAAGAGGAAAACTAGCCATAATTCTGCTGAACTCACCTACATGGTTTTAAGATGCACTAAAAAGAACTAAAAAGGGTGCTACAGCATCTCGTGTTCAAAGATGTACTGCAAAGGTCACCAAAGAAATTCCTTAGATGACACCAACAGCAGCTGTCCCAGTGATTAGCAGAGGGCAATGCCACATAACCAAGTGCTTTTGCTTATTTTCCCACCAAGAAAGGACTGCATTGGAATTGCTTGTGAAATACATGAACAGCAGTTGTAACAGCTCTGCTAACTTGCCACATCTTTTAAAATTACCGACTCCGCTCATTCAGATCACAGTATTTGCTGTGAGCTTTATAATCAAGTTTTGGTCAATTCAGACTTTGGGATAGTATGCAAATTCTGTCAACATCATTAGTCTCACCTTGGAGCTCTTGGCTGCAGTTTCAGGATGAATTTGCTTATTCCAGTTTTACAAAGCAGCCTGCGAGACCGTTGAGTATTTTCACATTATGACTGCTGTTGAACTCACGTGGGAAAAAGAGAAACACTGCCACCCCATCTCTGTATTGATCCCAGCCAACAGTGGTGAAAAAAGGTCAGACAGAGTACAGCTCCTGTCTCACCCCTCCCCTTTTCCTTCACCCTACCTGCTATGTGGTTGGCTTCACTGCCTCAGATGAAACTGAAATGCAAGCACATGAGCAACCAAACTTACTTTTTGCTGCCTCTAACATCCTGTCCAACAACTATAGAAAACAGAATAATTTACAATTTGTAGCATAAAGAAACGTTGCGTGAGAGCATGGACAACACAGAAGAGTCCTAAACATGACATTGGGTCACTGAATATAAAGTCTAAGTATTTGAAAATTCCCATCAGGAAAACAAAGTTAATAACAAAGCTTAAGAGAACTGGGCATCAGAACAGCAGACATGCAGACCAAAACTTTCACAAACAGCCCTCCCGCCCCAGAACTTATTTAAAGCTCTTTGTCTTTATTAGCTGCAGCTTTTAAAGCCAGCAAGCCAAACGTTTGCTATTCAAACATAACTTTCCATCTTCTGTAGTTCTTCTGTCAAACGCTGCAGTGAGGGCTCATGCAACAAGTTACTTGCTACAGTTGGCAAGATCTGGCTGCTTCTCATCACCCTCGTAGAACAGAACGGTTTCTGCTGCAAATACTTGCCTTAATTTTTACTTAAATTCTGACTTATACCAGCAGATATCTGTTCTCAACAAGACACTGCTTTAGTTCAACAGAATTGTTACCACTTCATCTAACCAAAAAACCTGTAGATCAATGAAGTACAAATGTGACACAGTCACAGTCACCAGCCTGCAAGCTGCACTCCTTTCAACAGCTGTACTTGTTCGAAGACAAGATTTTTCACTTGTGTTTGTACAAGGTTTGCTTAATTAGCTGATATTATGACTCACGTTAGGTTGCAAGGCACAGCTGGAAACAGAACAACGAGAACAGAACAGAAAAGGAGAACCCAACAGTATTACTGCACTTATTTTGAATACTAAGGTCATTCTCCCATTGTTTTTAGCAATAAAGGTAAAAGTAAAACCACAAAAAAATTTTCTTCAAGAGTAGAGTTTAGCTTTTGGAATCATTACGGGGGAAGGCATCTCTAAGATCATCTAGTCCAACCATCCACCTCCAACCAATACTCCCCAATTAGACACTCTTCAGGGATGAAGTAAAGGGAAGCACGATAAAGGAAAAACAAGCAGAGGAACCATGAAGTCATCCTTACTCGGTCAGAAGCTGATGCAACTTCTGGTAGCCCCTCTCCAAGGCCAAGCTCACGGGCGTCGCGCCGTCGCGATTGTGGATGCTGAGAGCTCCTCTTCCTCCTGGCTGCTGGAGCAGAAACCACGTCAGCCTCAGCAGGCCCTGCCTCACTGCAAAGTGCATCAGCGTCTCCCGAGGGATGTTCTCTGGGAATAAGGAAAGAAAAAGAAATATGAATTTGTAGGCTGCCGCTTAGGTGAATGCCATTCCCCCACATCCTTGTTACTGGAGACAAGCCACATGCATGCCAAGTGCAGCACAATGGCTGGCATGGAACTAGAGGTGCTGACAGCCAAAAAGCCAAGGAACCTAAACACTGCAGCACCTGGAAAAACACGCTCTGCACAAGCTGGCTGCGAAATCCAGGAGACACCGCTGCATGAAAGCGAGGCACTGGCTCCAGTGGGACTGAATGTGCTCGGGACATCTCGGGGTCAGACTGCAAGAGCACAGAAGTCAAAGTGAAAAGAAGGGCTTTGTGGACAGCCATGACAGCCACTGAGCTGCAGGGCTTCCCTACAGCTCCTGGCATCTTCAGGGGTGTACATTTCTCTGTACATCCAAGCCTTTTTTAGTCCCACGGCCAGGACCAGCCTTTAGGAATCTGAGAGTTATGTTATTTAACGGAACACTGATTTGTCCCAGGGCATGAAAAAAATCAATTACAACAGAAGAACAAATGCAGAGCAGTTATGAAAGAGAACAGTTTTAGCCTCTCATATGGACATAAAAATGAGGTTTTTGATTTCCTGGCTTGACTGTGCCTTAGCCCAGCTTTTCTCAGCTTTCTGCAGTAGCACTGTAATTCAGAGTAGCAACATTTATAAACTAGTAATCTCCTCTGCTGCTTTTTATGTTTAATAACCATGACTTTCTAATTCAGTAAAAGTCACTCTTGAGCCTAAACTTTCATCTCAGAAAAGTATCCCCCCTACTCTAAAAGCTGCAGCCCGAGAACTTCCACCAGAAATGGGCTCCAGATGCACCGCTGAAATACAGCATTTGCAGATCAAAGCGTGCTGCTTCTGCAGGGAGGGAGAAAGCATTTGGGTTAAAAAACTGCAAGAAATACAAATTTGTTCTTTTAATTAACAAAGGATTTCAGTATTGACTGGCAGCAGCAAAAACAACAGAAACGCACCAGCTGAGTAAACCATGCCAATAGTTTAATACCTTTAATATTGTAGCGGTGATTTATTGGGTTATTAATTTGGTTGCCAGCCAAATCTACATAGTAAATTTAAAAAATGCAAGTGCATAATGACTGTAAGATTTAATTATTTTTTCCCCAAGAAGCACACCCCAAGAGAAATCGCTTCTGCAGTGTGCTGTTTTCTTGCCTGCTTTCTCAAGGGACATCATTAAGGCCTTTAGTGAAAAACAATGCAAAAAGAGGGAGTTATCCCTGCCTGACACACAAGCTTTTCCCACTTTCTGGATCAGCCCCTGAAGAACTGATCTGTATTCAAGAACTACGGCTCCCTGGCACTGTCTCTCTTCCATATGACTCCACATAGGATCTCTGGGCTTCAAACCAATCCTTCCTCCCTAACATCCTCTTATTACTCTCAAGCAAAATCATGTTATCTTGAACACAGGAGTATGTCTGAATGGAGGTTCCAGCTGATCAGAGAAAAAGGAAATAGCTGGTCTTACTCACAGACAAATTCTCAGCCTATGGGAGAGTAACAACAAGGATTTTGGTATGGAGTGCAACAGCGTGCCATGCTTCAGAAATAAACAACCCAACAAGGTGGTTAATCAAAGACTGTCAGCTTTAGGCCTAAGGTATAATGAAAAATAACACAACAAAAGGGAAAAACTACTGACGAGGCTGCAGAAGGGAGAAAGTGTGGATACAGGACTGGACTTAGCGAAAGTATATGGCCCAAGTTTTACCCTGTGAACTCGTACTTGCACAGAGCTCCTACAATAACTGCACTAATAAACTGGCAGTATAATCAGCTAGCATAATTGAAACAGTACAACTCTTCCTGCCACAGATGTAGGAAGCACCACAACACTTCTGCTGGAGCAAATGACTGCTGTCCAAATAAAGAACATGTTGCACTGGTCTGACCACATCTGGTGCAGCAAGGATCATCTCCCACTCCAGCTGCCTTGTTGAAAGGGAACATCATCTTCCTAACTGAAACAAACAGCCTTGCACCAGGGCAGACCTGAAAAGCATAAGCATGGATTCCTGGATCAAAACACCTCTTCCTCCTTTAGCTGAGAGCTGCACAATTAGGGAGCAGCATCTTCTGCTTACCAGCTCTTGGTTCTCCAATAAAAACACACACCAACTGCAAGTTTGGAAAGGTGCCTGCAACCATGCATCCCCTGATCCACCTGGGTACCCGTCCCTACATGTATTTCCATAGAGGAATTGCTTCTCCTACTTGTCCCAAACATTCAGGTGATTTAATCTGCTCATTTGAATGCACTTTTTGAAAATCCTGTCTTTTCTTCTCCACTTTTTAAAAACAATCTTCACTACTGTCAAATTAGTGAATACAGGTGGATGGAGGTGGTTACACATGCAACTGACCTGAACTCAGCACTGCCCTTGTGCCTCTGCACAACCACAAAGTGCACAGAAGATGAATACAAGACATGGAGCCTTGCCATCCTGAGCATATTAAATACAGACTCATTCTCCAGGTCCATTGGAAAGGATCTGCCTGACATACAGACTGGCTCCAGGCCATCCTAACAGATGGGTATGGATGATGGCAGCAAAGAGACAAAGTGCTGCACACACAACCACTGCAGAGCCCTGGGCAATGGCTTTAGAGGGTTCTGGAGTGTTTAAAACTCACACAGCTATGGTGAAAAGGAGTGTGCCATCTGTGGACTGGATTAACTACTAATATACAAGGAGAAATACATCCGCTGGTGCACAGTGTTGCTCAGAACAAGCCAAGAGCAGGTGTGCATTGAGTATGGAAGTGCTGCATGATGGAGATGGAAGGAGGATGGACAGCATGCCTACAGCCATCCCAGCTCTGAAGGTCTGAGGCTTGTAGCATGGGATGCTGGAAATTCAGTCAATGATTACAACGTCTTGTCATGGTGCAAAATTCCTTTCACAGCTATGGAAGAACAACAGAAGCTTTAACCAGCAGTAGCCAGAGCTTCTTCTCCTACCACATCACGCATGAGCTCCTCATCTTAAAATGGCTGTCCTGTAAAAAAGGTTCTTGTAATTAGGAAAACTGTGGAAACACAAGACACACGATACTGGAAAGACCAAAGTTGTTTTTGTTCCTTTCTTGTTTCCTAGTAATAGGCAAGAGTTGAAACATATGATTATTGTCCCATAATGGCAGGGCACTCTAATCCAGCTGGCAAAACAGAAGACTTTAGATGTATTATTTTAATTTTTTTTTCTTTTTTTTTTCAGCTGTGACACATGAACAATTTATCTGAGTAGCTAAGGTCAAAATTTCCATAGAAGAATATCAAATGTACTTTGCTAACTGTAAATGATTAAGGCTTAAGGTGCTTTTAGCACTAAATAAAAAAGCACAGAAGGAAAAAAAAAAAAAGGTTTGGGTATGACACATCTGAGAGCACACAAAAAGTAACAACTTGCATTGTAATCCTGATTAAATAAAAGAGAAAAAAAGAAAGAAAGAAAAATCAACTAACCTCTGTATTTCTTTATAAAATTTGCTTCTTATTTATTTAGAGAAATCCATGCTGAATGGCTCAGTTTACCCTCCATACCTTGAGACAGCTCAGTAAAGAAGAGAAAGCCATGGATTGGAACAGCTCAAAGTATCTCTTGCTACTCTTCCTGTGATAGTGACTTCCCCTTGTTTCTCACCCAAAACCACGTATTGTAAGCAAATTCTAAGGGCTACCACCAAATCTTGTTTATGGCTGAAAGGGTTCTCAGTGCTCAGATCAACCCTTGAGCAAATCCCCAAAACAAGCTGTCACCTGGCACTCGAGAAGGCAATGGTACTAAAGGAAGGGCAAGGTGGAGACACAGAGGTTGGAGTTATGAGTTCAGTTAATAAAAAATGTGGGTAATTCTTTTTAAATCTTATAAACAAGACTTTTTCAAAGCACACTAAAGGATCTTCATGTCCCTACTCCCACTAACACCTAAGGGAACAGAAGCACCTTAATGCCAATGGTTTCTCAGCCACAGACACTGGCTGAACATTTTCTACTTCCTATTTTGCAATGCAGAGTGCATTAAATTCAGGGAAGGAAAATATTTTTTTTCATCTTATCAAGTACTGTAGCTGAACAGACTACTTTGTGCTGCTTGCTCAGAGAAGATCATGCCCATTTATACTGTACAAGCCTTTATCAGAGGGCAGAGAGAAAGGTGAGAAGCAGATAGGAAAGAACATCAGACTCAGGGAAAAGAAAACTGGTAACTATTATCCTGAAAGCATTTAAGTAGAAACTATAAACGGAGTGCAGGAGATGAACAGATTAAAGCTTTATGTCTGGAAAATACCATCAGCCACCTCCCTTTAACGTGCTCCAGTGGAGAAAAAAAGGTAGCTCCTAATTTCATTGTAGTCAGTCCTGAAAGTTTGTTGTTTTTTTTTCCTAGTAAGGCTTTTTTGTTGCTGCTACTGCTCTCTTCAGACATTCCGCTTCTGTTTTCAGTATCCTCTTGAGATCTTTCTGATCTCTACTGATGTGGTCCATTGCACTGAACACTGCAATCCCTCTGGGTTCCACGCACCGTTATTAAACGTAACTCCCAACTATTTCAGACTGGGCCAAGGCAACTTCTTCCCCACCACCTCCTCCCCACTGAGCTCACAGAGCTTTATTTCTCAAGAAGCATTATTGCATATGGATGTTTGCTATTCAGTGCTTCTGGGAAGCTGCACATATTCAAGACGTCTTCAAGACGTCAGTAACTGCATTCCTAAGGCCTGGGAGCTGCTAAGTGTTTTATCTGCTAAGATGGTATTCTGGTTATCTGCCTGCAGTCGATGCTATCTTGCAGCTCATCAAAGGGACAGATTTTCCCAATGTTCTCATGGGGAATCACTTGCTCTCATGGCTGATCATCACTGCACTCTGAAAGCACCAACCTGTAAAGCTCACACCACCAAAACCGGAACCAGTCTGGATTTCACCACTTATTTTGATGAGCAAATTGAACAGACTGTTTCCCAAAAGAAGTTTTGAAAGCAGTCTGTTCACTACTGGTAGATAACTCAAGGATTAAGTTCTCTAAGCTTTCCATACCTTAGGTACTCCCTTATTTTTTTTGTCATCTTTTTCTCCCTACTGCAGCACAAACAAGCCATAATTATTACTCATACCTCCAAATATTCTGCTCTGGTTTTCTAGTTAGTTTATTTTCTGCTTGATCATTTAAAATAGAAAATTACAGTCCTGCATTTATGTTGCATATATCCTCAGAATACATACTAAATTTTGATTTCTAGATATAAAGTATAACCCATCTGTTCAATTTCAACAACAGCCCTCTGAATGTCACAGGGAACAGTAAATAACCCTACGCTTAACAGCACTAACAACTATGTTCTTTAGAAAGTTACAGTGCACTTGCAGTAATTAAGACAGACATGATAACACAGCACCTGAAAGTAATGCTGTGTTTGGAACACCATGGTAACAAAAGTCATCCTTAATTACAGATAGTCTGAAATAAACTTGGGATGCCATCTGAGTTCATTCACATGAGTTGATAATTAAGGGCAAAGCCCAGGAAGGACAGAACATGGCAGGTAAGAGCACAGCACAGCTCACCCAGCTGCCCTGGGACAGCAGCAGCATGCATGGAGAGGGCTAAGACATCTATGCCCAAGGTGGTTTAGATGAACTCTGGACTTGGAATGCAAAGCCTTCAACCTGCACGTGTCCATGCAAAGTCCTGCAACACAAGCACATGCTTCTGTCCAAAGGTACAGCATTGTGCGTGGTGGACTTGATGATCCTGAAGGTCTTTTCCAACCAAGATGAAGCACCAGGTGGGATGTGGTACCCTCTCACCCAAAGTCCCATGACCTGACCTGCATAACTGGCACAACAGCTTCATGTTCCCTGTGAAATATTTTTTGTGTGTGGATAAACATGTATCTACTGAAAAGTTACTGCAAGACTTCCTGGAGCCCTTTACTCTAAAATATGGATTAAAGGCTTCTCTGGGGGCTTCTTCAAATAGCAAATAGGAGGCTGTACCTCAAGCAGGTGGGTTCACGGAGAAGGAGGAAAATAAGTGGTAGAGACTGGGAAGGCAATTTGGGTCAGCTCACTCTGCACGGGAACAGAGTGCTGCTGAAAATGCCCTGAATCTGAGTACCCCCCTGACAGCAGCTGATGTGAGGAAAGCTTGAGAACAGGCTTTATACATATATGTATTTCATTGGGGAAAGTTATCCATAAAGAAGCTGTTACTCAGAAATCTAATTAAAGCCTAGTCATGATCAGCTGTAGGTGTCCCTGTTCACTGCAGGGAGTGGGACCAGACGACCTCTAAGAGTCCCTTCTGACTCAAATGATTTGATGATCACACCAGAAGGGCAAAGAAACAGGAGTAAAGAATTTCACCTTTCCATGGAAAAGCAAACAAGAACTCTGAGGTGAGACCACTGACCAACAGTTTCAGAGAAGAAGATTCTGTTTTCTGAACTAGCTTTTCTTGCCAGGGGCTCCCCACATGCAGCCGCTGCCCCCCATCACACAAGCATTACAGACGCTGGCAGGCCCAGGCTGGGTACCACACTCCACACCATTGGCTGCTGAACACAAAGCTTGTCATCAAAGCCCAAGTTGTACAAAAAGAGAGTTTGGTTCTAAGTTTGGCACAGCAGGCTCAAACAGAGCTTGATGAGATCCAAATGAATCCGCTTTTTTCAACAGGTTTTAGGTGAAGAACTAAAGCCTGTGATCACAGATTATTTCAGACTTTTTTGCTGTACCAGAGTAACATCAATTAATAAATACTGGTTTTGAGCAATGTTAACCAAACAGCTGCAATAATATTACCATATGGATCAGATTAATCAATCCTGCTCAATGCATTTTATTTTGGGACAGTTTCTTTTTAAGCACTAAGAAGTTTTTGCCTTCTGGACCAGCAAATGAGAATACTGTACACAAACATACTGGGATTGGAAATACACTGAAGAGCTATACAGGAATTTATTTTCAATTTGTTCAAATGAAAATGATGTCTAAAGAGATAAAAAGACAGAAATGCAAAGAAAGTATAGTGTGAAATACTACTGGGATTACTGAACCTGAGGAAACTTCTCTTGCTGAATGGCAACAGCTAGCTTAAATAGGTTATGGGGGGAAAAAAAAAAGAAAGGTGTTTCACTGGAATGCTTACAAATGTCCTCTGGCTGTTTTAAATAATGTTAGAGGTATTTCTAGCCCACAGCTGAAGCAATGCATTCTTAACAATTTGGATGTATAAATGCACCACGCCTTTAATCTAGAGCAATGGCAAACTCTTGAAGAATGAAGACCCTGGTTTGGCAACCAAAACATAAGCAAGCACATAGTTCTTACATAGCTTTGCACCACAACAATGCTGCACTTTTACTTACTCAGTGTTATGGCAGCATCTTCCCTGTCCTTTGGAGCGTGACAGCAATTAACTCCTTGTCTTCTGCAGGAAGAGTTGGGAATGGGCAAAGGAAAGGAGAGGCCTGTGCAGAGCCAGCCCCCCCTCACAAGCCTGCACCCTGGAGCCACCATCCAAGCTCTTGCTGCAGAACCGCAGCCACTTCACGCCTATCTCCAGACTGGAGCCCTTAGAAATATCTTCTTTCAAACATGCTTCACAGCAATGCCCACCTCATAACAGCACTTCTGTGCCCAGATTGCTGGCTGAGGCTCTCCGCTCGCTCTGACTTTCAGAGGTTTTGCTAAACAGCAGTGTTTTGTTTCCAACCCACAAGAGCCCAAAGAGAAATGTCAGCTTAGAAGCAGCGTGAAAGTCTTTCAAGAAAGGATCTGACATTTTCTTTTGTTCTCATTTCTATAGCATTTTCTCCTTCAAGAAGGTTATTTGAAGTATATGGCAGTGACATTTAGTGAAACGGGAAATATAAACTGAGATAACTGTTCATAGGTAGTGATGCAATGAAGGGTGGGCGGTCCCACTAGAGGGGCACTGACCAGAACATGTGCATAATTGTTCTCATGCTCCCCCAGTTTCAATCTGTGCAATGATTTTCCCACTTTCCCAACCCAGATTAATGCACAAGCACCACCACTACAGAGGTGCTGTTTTCCTAATGTAGCTCTCCATCATGAATCAGAGACATCTCTCCAACCTTGTTCTCCCAAAACAGGGTTACGTGACCAGAAGGATGCTTATATATACAAATCTTTCCTGTCACAATCACAAAAATTCCCCAAAAGTCCCTGTGTATAATCAGCTTACTGAAAAAGAACTACCAGATATATCTGCCTCCAGACCAAAAGCCAACCAGGAGATGAAAAACAGACCAAGACATCAACAGATTGCCCTTATTCAGTTACATGTGAAAAAACTTACTGTGAGAGAACATTTTATTAGACCAGCACGCTTAGATGAAGGTTGCATTTACTGCTGCTGAATGCCACAGCCTATACCACAGTGATTTTCAGGCACAGAAGTGTATGCCGAGCAAATCCTATGGCAAATCCATAAGCAAATCCCTTCCCTTCCCTAACATCTGATTTTTCCAAAGAGGAACCAAAGACCAAAAAAAAAAAAAAAAAAAAAAGAAACTAGATCTGAGCCTTCCTGCAAAATCAGTAACAATCCAGTGCTTCAATTGAAATTTTCATTAATAAAGAGCACTGTGCCAATCTTTTACAATATTTTTACCACTTCAGTAAAGCAGAAATTCCTGCATTATCACAGCTTTCTAAAATGCGAAAAGAAACATCAGTGCCTTCCATGGAGAGGGAAAAGATACCAAGTGTTTATCTCCCAGTAAACAGACAACAGCATCTGAATTTCTATCCAGAAACCACTAAATACGATCACATCATTGAACCTCTGCTAATGCTGCTTTGACTGCCTGCCCGTGCATTCATGTTTACAAAAGCAGTCACTGAGGCAGTGACAATTAAAGCAGGAAAAAATCCTGCAGAAAACCCCATCAGGGCAAGCAGAACTGCAGCCTCTGTGCTGAACAACTCATTCCTGTTGCAGTGTTTAGGCTGGTATATCCCATAACAGATAGGGAATGCCTCACAGCCACATTCCTCATGTGAAACTATTTGCCAGAATACCTTAGAAATTTATGGCAACACTGGAATTAGCCCCAGAGTGCACCAGTATGCTTCCTTAAAACTGCCCTGTGACAGAACTCCAAGGCTACAGCCATGTCACAGCATCTTGAACGTGTTGGCTCTGCTGCTTTTACTAGAGGTTTTACTAGAGGCCAGCACTGACCTCTATTTATAAGCTCTCAGTAGCACTCTCTGCTATGGTTAAGGGCTCGTGTTAGCCAGGCTTTCCCACTTTTATTCTGTTTTATTTGCAAAATTATCTGGGCTCATTTTAGGGAAGGTCTGTGTTCACAGACAGCTGTACAGGCAGGGATGCTGGGCTAATCCTCGGGGTGCTTTGGCATCAAACATGCTGCCTGTAGGCAGCCTGCCAGCTTCTCCAAGAGAAATCAAATGCGTTTTACGCACATTACAGTTCCTTTGCACCTGTGCTATAAAACCAGTGTTTAGCAAACACACCAAGGCTGTGGCACAAGGCCAAAGCATCAGGCTTCCTCCACAGACCCATCTTTTTCAGGAAATCAAAGAAATGTGATGCTGATGCATGCATAACACTGCAAAGACAAAAAACCCCTATCTGCATGTGCTGCAACACTGACCACTTACCACACTGCGTCCTATTTTATAACAGAAAATAAAGAAAACATGGGTGACCTGTATTTCAAAGTGGCTGAAATGCAAAGTGTAGGACACAGATACAGTATGACACATTGGTATACAGCCTGTCCCATTTCTGTGCACTAAGACCAATGAATATTTTGAAAGACAAGCGGATGGCTCCCAGAGCAGAAGGCTTTTAACCCCTCTCACACCTCACACACATCCCCATGCTTCTCACCGTTGAGGGACTGATCCGTTCCCAGCACGTTCCATTCTGCAGGCAATTTCAGGTGTCGAAATGCCAAAGCCACTTTCTCATCCAAAATGTCCACATCAGCAGCAGGTGGTCTCGACTGGTCCAAGAAACGGGTGAAGTTTAGTGCCTGCTGGTTCCCTGCGTAGGTAGCCAGAAACTGGGCTGCATCGTACGCTTCATCTTGGATGAACTTGAAGCTCTCTTCTGCCACCACCAGAACAGGGCGACCTTCCTTAGAGGCACAAAGTGCCACCTTCACCGTCTCACAGCAGTCATGGCCTGCAAAGAAAACCAAGGGAAATTGTAGAAGAGAATAGTCGAGTGCTGAAGAAAGCCACAACTGAGCAGCATTTTTGACACACACATTCCTTATATTAAATCAGATAAATACAAGTTATCAAGAGTCACAACTCTAAATTAAGAGCTATCTTGGGACCTCAATGTGTTTGAAGAGAAAAAAAGTATTTTTTGTAGATTTTTAAAGATGTGTAATCCTTCTGTTTGGTATAATATAGAGCCAGAAATATCTAAGCAGCTCTACCCTGACCAGCCTATTTTGGATCAGCTACAAGTAAATTCAAGAGCACTTGGTAACGATTTTGCTAATGCACCCATGGGAGTTATGATCCAATCAGCCAGATTATAGGGTCAGACAAACTTTTTCTTTCCATCTCCACTCACAGAATCACAGAATCGTAGGGGTTGGAAGGGACCTCCAGAGATCATCGAGTCCAACCCCCCTGCCAAAGCAGGTTCCCTACAGCAGGTCGCACAGGTAGGCATCCAGGCAGGTCTTGAACATCTCCAGAGAAGGAGACTCCACCACCTCCCTGGGCAGCCTGTTCCAGTGCTCCGTCACCTCACTGTAAAGAAAGACTCGGGAACTCACCAGAAAGTAGAACCTGAGAGAGGAAAAGTTCCTGCTCCAAAAGCTGGCACAGCACTTGGCTTACACAGCAACCACCGCAACCTCACCTAACATACAGACCTACAAAGCAGCAAGAGCTGGTAGAGCACAGCCTGAAACACAAAACTAAAACTAAGCTTCTGCTAAATAAAAACCCAAAATGGCTTCTGTCCATATTTACCAAATAAAAATGGTAGAACTTTGATACATTTATTTAATTAGGGCCCAAAGCAGCCAGTGCTGGCAGTTGTCAGACATGCCCCTTCAATAATAAGGTTCGTGTTTCAAGTTCACTGTGCAGCACAGCTCCTTGTTCCAGTGTCAGCCTGACGTCAGTGCTGTTTTTGCCAGAACAGCACGGACCCTGCACTAATTACTGGAAAAGCTTCTTTTTGCACATGACCTCAGCATCTAACCACATTCATGGAACCCTACTTAATTAAATACAAAATGACGATTTATTTTTAAAGGCTCGAAAATTCTCTTTAAGCCCCTATTTGTGGTCAGTGGGAAAGTTTCCTTCTTGTGTCGAGGCTCTTTGCTGTTGATTTCGCTCACAAAAGGAAAATACATCCCTAATCTCTGCAGCCATTCAGCCAACCTTCCAGATCTGTTCTGAGGCTTTTGGCAGCTGTACAGGTTTGTCTGCTGAAAGAGGCAATCCTGAAGTTAATTGAGAGGTCAAAACTGCTATTCGGACACTGTGGGTAACACCAAAATTGTCAGAGATGAGGCTGTGTGACTTCCTAAGGAGAGCAAGCGCAGCTGGAAACATATCAAAGGAAAATGATGTGAAAGTTGAAGGAACAGACACACTAACACTGACATTACAACAAAGAATAAGGGCGGGAAGACCTTTGGGGGCTCTTTGGAAGCTATGGAGAAGTCTAACTTGGAGGAAAGCACAAGATGCTCTTTCTAAAGCAGCAAGGACTTGGAAAAATCACACGTGCATTCAGAGTTTAATTCATCACCATCTGATGGGACTGGCAGCGGCCCTGAGGAAGTACATCACAAATTACCTCCATCTTCACTGAGGCAGCCTCAAATATCCAAAGGAGAAGGCACAATTTCGGGGGAACTCCTCTTCAGTGTAGACCTTTACAACCTTCCCCATATAACTTCTTGCTTTGCTCCTTCTAAAGATATCAGAACAAGGAGCTAAGAAGACATACTAACATTGTTTAAAACCTCTACCAAAGCCCTGAGCCGCACACAGTGTGCAGAGCCATCCTGCGAAAGCTGACTCGAGAACTCTGAACTTGGCTCTTCCCCATGCAAAGAAGTGGAAGTTTACTAAAATGTAAAGTTGTGTTTTTTTTTGTTGTTTTTTGGTTGTTTTGTTTTTTTTTTTTTTTTAAATAATAAAAGATTGAAAGATTGCTTAATCACATGAGAAAAGCTAAACCTTTGATTTTTACTTTTTTTTAAGCTATTTTCTCTCTATTCCCATAAGAATCCCATCTGCAAAGCAACCTAGAAAACAGCTACTCTGCCAGAAAGGCAGCTGAGTTTCAGGAGTGAAGCTGCAGACAAGCACAGCCTGCTCGCAGTCAGAGAAACACTGCAGGACAGTCACTTCAGTCACTTCTTTATGAGGAAAGCTGCTCCATTATGACAACAACACAAACTTCAGTAGAGCAACATAGTTGCCTTCAACCAGCACATCAAACTAGATGAGCTGTGATCCGCTTGCACTGAACACGTGTGGGACTCCAGCCTTGCAGTGCATTTAAGTAAAGCCACAGAAGCACAGATGCAACACAAGCAGAGGTGACCACCAGATCAAGTCCTGAATCACAGCCAGACGTGGTTCTCCTGAAAGCCCCACTAGCATCTAAAGCAGCCTTGAAAAAGAGGTGCCCGAGCCGACAATCCATGGACATCTGACAGGATCAAACAAGCATCCTGCTAAACCCTTGGGAATGTTATTCCAAAGGGCAACCCCTCACAAGGCTTTGATGTTCTCCTTCCCTACATCTGACGAGATGTCAAACTGGGGGTTAAGAGTCTGGGACAGGTTCTGACTTTGGCAAAGAGTTCAAACACGGGACGAGCAATTAAGTAACAAGCGTGGCAAATAGTAAAAGATTGCTCAAGAGGTCTCTGCCCCCTGCTTTGAAAGAGCCACAGGGACGTCACCAGCAAAGAGCTCAAACACCCCAGCACACACAGGACCTTCTGCAGGAACAGCCAGTGCAGCAAGGCTGCTCTCCACATCAAAGACCTGCTTCCTACCCTGGGATAACAGTTGAACTTCAGCAGCCCTTTTCCCAGAGCACGTTAAGCAGTATTAGGAAAAGTGCGCTCAGCTTTCTGGCACCCTTGGGAGATAAATGGTTATCATCCACAGAGCGAGCCCAAAGCTGTTTGCATGAGGTTAAGGAACTTGCCCAGGATCACAAAGAACTCAGGGCAAGGTTGGAACACATGCTATTGCTCTGAATGGTCTCCTTTCTGCTCCAGCAGGCAGACAACGGAGTTTACCCTTAGCAGGATGAAGGATGGACCCGTGCATGGTGCTGGTGTGCAGCATCCATCACCCAGCCTACAAACAGCATGTACAGAACCATGAGCACCACAGCACATGGCCATTAACTGCTGTGCTCCTTCCAGAAGCAGAACAAAGCTCTGCAGACTTACTAAAAACGTAAAAAACCCGGGTGCATCAGAAGGAACCATCAGCTTACTTATAGCCTACCTGTAACATTTGTATTTCAGAAGGTTCAAAACATGGGGGACCGAATAAATTACAGACATGGCTGCACCCACAGAGGGCAGGAGAAATCTAGGCATTTTAGAGCTCAAATGGGTTTGCGATGCTGCGTTACATCTCTGCAGATTGCCTTCACTCTCCTCCAGAAATCCGGACATCTGGCCAAACAAGCAATCCAAAGCAAATGGTAACATTCTGAACACTGCCACACTATTACCATCCAGCAATATTCCAACTTGAATTCTAACTTCTCCAACAAACGTAACAGTGTTTCTACCATTGCTGTTTGCTAACGTCTCAGGCTGTTTGCTGGCATCCACACTGTTCTCCGTACATTTTTTTTTGCCACAGTATGAAATTTCATCATTTATATGCTAGCTTAACTGTTATAAAAGTCAAATAATCCACCCCTTAATTCTTCTTGTATTGAATTTTACCTCATTTCTCCTGGTCCTCAATTATTTCAGATTTAGAAGCAACTCAATACTTCGGAGCTGTTCTAGGACCTGCCAACATATTGCAGGAAAAATACAGAAATTATAAAACTTTCCAGTCTGCACAGAGATGGGTGCAGCAGTTGCTTCTGCCACGATAAAGTGAATTCCCCAGTTTCACAAACCCACGCTTTAAAAATTGTTTAAAGCAAGACAACAAGTCTTCAATTACCGAATTCCTTACTAGGCCACTTACTGGAACTTGCTTTGGGCAATACACAACAACAAAAAACAAGGAACACGAAGCTCTGGCCTCTCTGTACTCAACCCTGATGAGATGAGATGCACTGGTATGATAGCACTGCCTCTTCTACACAACAACATTTGCAAAATAACACTGCAAAAGGTGGAGATGCTCAGCTGCAAGGACTTTATAGACAAGTTAATGTATGGTCTTAGGCTTGGCCATCCAAGTAGTATCCATTTTACTGACCTGGGGTGTGTTTAAAAGGGTGGCAGCAGGACTCTGAACAGACTTTTTATCATCAAACAAGGCACACATGGAGACAAAACATCGTTGCTCCGAAGCAGAGCTTTTACCAAAACATGATTTCATTTCCTACTCCTCTGAAAGTGGAAATCCTGTCCAAACCACCTATTTTCAGAATTAACATTTGAGATATCAGACAATGGCCCCCCAGCCTGGGCAGCTATTTAAAGCACTGCTGGAAGCACATGTTTAGGTTTGCCTGGTTGGTGACTCCTGTGCTAACTGCGTCCTCTGAGTTATCCTGGTGGGGCTGTATAAAGAGATCTCATATGGAGGTCTAAACAGGACAGGAAAGCCAGACAGCAAATGCTGTGAATCTCCCGGAGTGTTTTCAGTCTGCATCCAACAGATGTTGCCATCTGGTGGCTTGTAGAAAGGCAAGTCAAGGGATCTCCTATGGCCACTTGTGAAAAGCTCTCTCCTTCAGAAATCCCAAATTCTGGCTCTGAAAACCAGAGCCCATGCTCGACACGTCTGATGTACAGTTGCTCTATTTACTCTTGCAACATAAGAGACCTTATGAAATACACAGGCCAGTAAAAGTGATGGACAGAAGCCTTTGTTTTTCATTACAAATCCTGTACAATTGTAGAAGGATTGTTTTAGGTCCTTTACGCTGCAAAGGTCATATATAAATCGGTAGAAGCACAAGACCCCACACATTACCTCATA